TTGTTTGGTATTACAAATGAATAAAGAAATACTTACTTTTTGTGACGCATATCATATAAATAATCGCGAAACTCTGTTTTAAAACATACCAAAAACGTTCGTAGTTGTCTAGTTATTCATTGTGAAAATATGAGTACGGTTGCCCATAATTGATTAAATCCACTTTATTTGAAGTTTGATGAATAGTTGTCGCATTGGCAATCATAGCACATCTCATTATTTTATATTAAATATTTATTTGGATTTTTAGATGGAAATGGGTGCGATATTGCATCGTTTGTATTTATAATTACGTAATATTAACTTTCTGGAGAAAGGCTATACTATATAAAAAAGAAGATGTGGTATGATTGCCAATGAGACAACTCTCCACAAGAGACCAAATGACACAGAAATTAACAACTATAGGTCACCATACGGCCTTCAACAATGAGCAAATCCCATACCGCACAGTCAGCTATAAAAGGCCCCGAAATGACAATGTAAAACAATTCAAACGAGAAAACTAACGGCATAATTTATGTACAAAAAATGAACGAATAACAAATATGTAACACATCAACAAACGACAACCACTGAATTACAGGCTCCTGACTTGGGACAAACACATACATACAGAATGTGGCGGGGTTAAACATGTTAGCGGGATCCCAACCCTCCCCCTAACCTGGGACAGTGGTGTAACAGGACAACATAAGAACGAACTATACAAATCAGTTGAAAGAGGCCTAACTCAACAGATGGATAAAAATACAAATACTACAAATACAAGTGGACGTGGCCGGGTACTTGTACATCCAAACAACAAACAGACACTACGTACAGATCTGAGAGTACTCGCAGTTACTGACAGCTAGTTCAAAGCCACTAACAACTAATAAAACAAATCATGCATGTAAGACTAAATTATCAATCCGTACACATCCAACATCCAATGGATTTAGTGTAAAGATGTCATAAACAGTCAGAGAAAAACATGACCTTGTGCAATGCCAAGATACAGGTATCGACAGATTGTAGATCCATGAATGTGTATATGTATATAACAATAATATTTAGTTTGCTTTTAATTTACTGATAACAAAATCAATATTAGTACCAATAAAAACAATATTTAATGATCTAATTACAGTGTTGAATTGGTAACCTTTTAGCATAAGTTTATTTAAAGGATCGATAAGTTTACCAGGATCGTTTCTAAATTTCCGGGCACGGTAAACAATATTGCCGTAGAAATGAGGATGTGCAATCCCGTTTGGAATAAGTTTTCTACAGGTAAAACCAAATTCAAAACCAAATCTTTATATCTGTGGAAGAATTTAGTAAAGGTTTTAAGTAATTTGTGGTAACGAAATCCCTGGCTTAATAATTTATCAGTAATACATAAATTACGTTCGTTAAAATAAAAAAACGTCACAACAGATACGGGCATAGCGAACGAGTTGTGAAATATAAACACCGTAAGATGGTGCCAAAGGAACATCACCATCCAAAAAGGGATAATTAACAATAGGGAACGAAAAATCGTCCCTTTAGTCGTAAATTTTAGTGTGGAGTGTCCCGTGTAAAACTGAAATAGCTAAATCTAGGGAAGGACAGTTGTTACCGTTTAAATTTGATTTATTTAAAGTAAGTTCCTTTGGGTAAATTTCGGCAGTATATTGAGAAAATTCTTGATTATTAAACGAAAAAATATCATCAAGATAACGGTAAGTGTTGTTGGATTTATCAATTAAATGCAATTTAGACAGGTCTTTACTGAGTTTGGTCATTAACTGTGATTCATAACAGTACAAAAACAAGTCTGCTATTAAAGGGGCGCAATTAGTGCCCATAGGAATACCTACAACCTGTCGATAAACTTTGCTGCCGAAACGAACATAAATAGTACCAAGGAGAACACTAACAGCTTCAATCATCTCATCACACCTCCAGTAAGTATATCTAGCATATTTACCTTTCTCATTAGAGAAGAAGGCTTTAAATTAGTTGCAGCAAATATATTTGCATTCAGATTTACCAAACGACCATTTAATCAAATAGTCAAATTTATATTTGATAAGATTGTGTGGAAGTGTTGTGTAAAGAGTAGAAAAGTCAAAACTGTCAACAGAATCGAAAAGACCTCCAAAAGCACGTAATTTATCTAAAACATCCAAAGAATTTTTTACATTTCAAAAAAAGTTAATTCGACTATTTTCATATATTTTATTACAATAGTTTATGATAAGCTCTTTGATAGTTGTTATTGAACTTGTTAATGCACTGAAAGATTAGTTGTAGAACACTTACTAGAGGCCGAGATGAAACGATATTTTACTGGTTTTTTGTGTAGTTTAGGTAACCAATACACAGTAGGGACCTTTAAATGTTTAGAAGAAGCCTTAAGCTGTGATGTGGTTATGATATGTTTGTTAACTATATGACTCTCTGTGGGGCGCATGGACTTGAATGTAGATGAATTTAAAATTTCATTCTTTAGAACGTCCGTGTAGTATTTATGGCATACCACCACCATATTAATGGCTGCTTTGTCGGCCGGTACAAATACAAATCGCTTTGAAAGTTCTTGAAATTTATTTTCTTATTCTGGAAATAGGCGTATTATGTACTCTATTATTTACTTCTAAATTGTTTTCAAAATGTAATATTCTATTATCTACCACATTCATACATTTATTTAAATAAGAATCAAGAGATTTTTTATCAGATTTTTCCCGTTTACATCAATTTTTACAAAACGAGGAAAGAGCATCTTTGGTGACCTGACGACACTGTTTCCAATCTATTTTAGATGGAGGACGATATTTTGGTCCTTTTTTCAAAAAATTTTTAATCTTTCTGTCCTGGACGATATTGAGGTCCCCCGTAATAACATGGCCATAGGGAACATATCTAAACTTCGACGATTCACAGTTTCAAGTTAAAGGAGTATTATTTTCTACATTGACGTCTGATGTTACCGGCGTATAATTAAAAATTAAACTTCTGCTAGGTTTTTTGTATGTGTATGAAATAATAGGTGGTTCTGTGTTATCAAAATAGGGAGGATATATGTTATACGATGTGTACTATCAACGACAAAGTCTTTTTTTTTGTCGTCTTTAACAAATAATTAAAAGAAATACATATACCGAACTCTATTTAAAATTCAAAACGAAAGGTCCATTACCAATTGACAAAATCAAAAGCTCAAACACATAACACGAATGGAGAACAACTGTCATTTTCCTGACTTGGTACAAGCATTTTCTTATGTAGAAAATAGTGGTTCAAATTTATTTTTCTGTTACATCTTTTTGTTGGGGTCTTTGTTTGAATTATTTGTATCTTTGTATAAATGTTTAAAGCAGTTGTGTTGCATGTCTTTGATGTATATTTAAACAGTTTAGGGTGTTTCGTTCTCATTATTTTCACATCACCTATTATGTCTGTAAGGATAGCTCACCCAATTTAGTCAATATAATCAAATTATAAGCATAGCTCATACAAGTGGGGATTTAGCTACCTATAAAACCAGATTAAACCCACCATTTTCTTCAGAAAATGCACGTACTAAGTCGGGGAATACGATAATTGTTTTTATCTGTTCGGTTGATTGACTGTCTGTTTTTGTAGACTTTACTTTTTTAAATTCTATTGGAATTCGGTACTTATGTTATTAGTCTTTGAAAAAAAATCAGGTTATTTAACTTATTTCAAAATAATAAGTTTTTTGGTGAAAAGAGGGCGGTGAAAGAGGTCACTGTCAGAGTAAAAGTTGAGGGTACATGCTGACATGGAAATTGAGTGATTTTGTTCTCTATTCTTAAGAAGTGTTAATCCGTACTTCAACATTTACATCTGGTAGATTTTTTTGGTTCGTTTGACAGATTTTGGTTTTCAATGATTATCAGCTTCGTAGTTGATTTACCTGTCAATTGTTTCGATTTGAACACTGTTGATTAATAAATTTGTTGAATAGACACATCACACGTCAGGTGTACTACACCATTTCCTTGTATCTTTATTGTTGTGTTTCCCATTCAGATAAGAAGTTATGTAACTGATGACGAAGTATTACCTAGACGAGTACATGGTACGTTTTCATTTGTATATATATTTTTCTTCCCGTTTTGAGATATCAAATTAAAAAACACAACACGAACTGTTTAATTTGTTTTATTGCCTTTGATATTGTAAATCCTAAATGATCAGCATTTTTATACGAGCATGGAAATTGTGTTCAATTTTTCTTTTCCATTCCAAGTGGTCGTCAAACAAAAAGCTAATAATGTTGTGATTCATAATCATCGAAACTAAACAAAAATGTAATCATAATTTTTGTTTAATTTTGCACAATGTAGTAAATAAATTTGACAAAATAGATATAATTAAAAAAATAAACAACAGATAATATATGAAAGTTTGTATTGTCTTGATCCTTTCCAATTCTCACAGTTTCATTGCTATGCTTGTACAAATGTATAACATTGCATATTATTATTTATGTAAAAAATATAACATATACAAATGATGACATACAAATATAAAAAAGGAATAATAAAACAAAAACAAAGACTCATTATCTACATTTAAAAACGACAAACACTCAGAATCAAAAGAAGAAATTGAAAATTATGCCTTGTTTTTCTTTTTTTTTAATGTATTAAAATGAAAAACGAAAACACTTTTGTTTTAAAATGTTTTTGTTGTTTGTTTTTCTGTTTATAGATTATTAAAACAAATATACAGGTACCACAAAAAAAAAAACGTGTTAAATAAAAAAATAGGTTCAAATCATTTTAGGACAAAGTAAGCAGTAAATCATGACCCATTAATCAATTATATTAATACACAATTCGTATATACGAATCATGGATTACATTATTTTCATGTTTGTGAAGGAATTAGGAATTACATTAAAAGTTAGATAAACCTACCCAACGTTAAGCACTAGACTGTAGAAAAGTAGATAAAGTTTAACCAGTTGAACCTGCACTCTTTGCGAACCTTCTATTTTACATAGTTACACTACAAGTCTTGAAACGCACAATACAAAATTCCTCAAACTGGCTTAGCTTCATATTTGCGATCCTCCTTTCGATTTCTTCGATTTCATATAACATTTTCTCTGCTAAAGCTTTATCTCTTGTGATATTAAGTTTGGAAACTTCGTCTATGGCTTTTGACATTATAAACTGCTTTTGGATGTTTTTCTTCTCAGTTTCAAATTCCTCTGTAGTGCCAACTTTTACCTCGCGGGCTTCCCTTTTGCGTACTCTTCCTATCAATTAAAAATTTTAATTAATTTATTACAATATTTACTGTATAGTTTTAGTTTACTGGGCAACTGATGGTGACACCGGTGGAGCAGCTTCCCGCGGAAACCCTCATTCTTATGATACCTTTTCCCTGTCTGCCCCTCTACTATCCTTCGGCCGCGATTTTACTGCTTTTTTCGACATTCACTGTGCATGTTGTAGGGCATTAAATTTGACACATTAAATTCTATGTTTTTGAAGTCTATTTATTACCTGTTTACAAAATAGATTCTCCGTCGTCAATAGTTGACATCACAATATATTATTATATTATTTTCAAAATATGCAAGTATTATATTACATTATTGAACAAAACATTTTGCTATATTTTATGAAATTCAGCATAAAAAGACATTTGAAGACAAACTTCTGTATTGCAATTCTGCTGCAACACATATATTAGTAGTAGAGGTGCATGATCATTACAATTTGCACTACAACAATAAAACTATTGTTAAATCAACAAATATAATTTGGAACCCTCCTAGCTATACTTCTTGGACAGCATATTTTTATATCCCTAGAATTCTAATTTTTAGGTCTGGGCGTTTCTGGCGAAAAATATCTACATTTGATTGAAGTTTTCTAAAATGTAATTTATACTTAATTAATGACCCCATGCCTTTTTTCAAATATGAGACTTATTTGCACGTGATCATTGTTGTTAGCTGAATGAATTTTGAAATTGAGAAAGCTTGTTTTATTTTGTTTTTACATGATACGCCTAGTAAAGGAGGCAGAAATATCAATAGAGCAATGCATACCTCGCATTTGAAAACTGATTATTACATCTGCACTGAATCTATATTGGATCATCATATTACATTGCGGAATATCGAGTCAATCACATCCTACTGACGTGGCAACAATGCATAAATGTTCGCCATTTCTAAACTTCTCCAAAACTTCCATCTGTTCGTAAGCAGGCTGAACTTATAGTAAAGAAAATATTATCAATGGATTCTATACCTATACAAAAACATGGTAATATATACACGTTGAATTTTTTGAACAAAAGTCCCGGAATCAAGTAAGACAGATAATTTACTGTCACTTTTTTAACATTTAACAAAGGGTTATTAAGACAAATATTCAGTCAGAGCAAATCAATTGCCTTTTTGGTACGTTTATAACAGCTAATTTATATATTGATTGTTACGGTTGTTATCAAAATATACGTAGTGTTGTGTTCAGCGATGAGATTGATCGGTAATTTGTGCTATATTAATTTGTAAGATTTGTTTTATAATTTACTTTTTGTTTATGACATGACTTTTATTCAAAGGCTGAATTTTCCATTGTATTACATTGTGTGATCGATATATAGCAAAGTATATTGCTCAAACCAGCACTAAGGCAGTTTTACCCAAAATCGCACTTTGTTTGTAAGTTGATGGACAGCAATACAATTGTATAAAATATTTTCCGATACAAACCAATAGGGTTAGTTATGAGTGCAAGTTTGTCTTCAGTTATATATCTATATACTAGAACAATATCTTTAAACCCTTTTATTAGTCTATTTCAGTGCAATTTGATATTGTTAAAAGCTCAACGCCAACAAATAGAATGTCGCACAGTTGGATTACTGCATTTGCGAACAGACCTATGATTATCCTGGATTTCCTCTTTGGTAAGTGTCGTGAGGGTATATGTTGAGTTTCCAAATGAATAGTCAATACCTAATTCATTTATCAAGCAGTTTATGTAATGATATTTACACACAAAAACGATGTTGTTTGGGGCTTCATCTGCGGGGACAACAACATATTTGTCATGGAGGTAGGACAAGTGTTTTGCAACATTTGGATCTTTAAAAATTGACGTAGCGTGGGTATTAATAGACCCATTTAGTTTCTTAATTCGGATATGTATCAACGACCTCACAGCCTTAATCCATTCGGAAAGAGTATCGACGTCTTCTTTCTCGCGTTTAGCCCATTGCCTGGCATAATCCTCGACTGAATCCATCAGTATTTTGAAGTTGCATTTCCAATTGATGGATTTAGGCTCACGATATTTCGGACCTATGGATAACAAATTTCGCAGGGAAGTGTTATTGACAATGTTGAGGTCTCCGGTAATAACGTGGCCAGCCGGATTATATGTGAATTGGGAATTAGCACAGGTGCAATCTTATCTAACTTATCATTTTTGCTATTTAAAGTTACTATCTATCTATTAAAGATTAAAGGTAATAGGCAAAAAACGTAAAAAAGAAATTGGTAAACATCGTAATCAAAGGGTAATTACTCAAACAATTAGGGAGTCGACTGACGATTTCAGCCATTTAACTCATTCGTAGTTCTTGTCTTGCTGATCATTATGGATGCATCAAGTTTCTCTCTATCTATTATAGTTTTCATAATATTAGGCAACAAGTAATTTTAGGGTAATAGGTCCTACAAAAAAACGTCTGACGGTTCTAATGAATACATTTAAAAAACTTATACTATTTTTTTCTATTTATAGCAATTTTGCAAATACAAGACAGAAATTGCTTTGTATCCCCATTTTCTAATTTTAGCCAAGTCGGCAATGTTGGTTAGCAGGCGGGATCATCGGTTACTTTTTAAAATAGATACATCCGATTCTGTCAAAATCGCCATTAAATGGCAATAACTTCAATAGGGAGTCAATTGATGATATTGAACGTGAGACTTATTTGCGGATGCATCTTACTTATCATTTTCGCTATCCAAACATTCCATCTATCTATTATAAGTTTCTTGACATTAAACAAAAACGCAAAAAAATGGGGAAAATCGTCATTAAATGGCAATAACTGCAATAATGAGCCTTATGACGATTTCGGCTATTCAATTGATTTGTAGATCTTGTCTTGTTGATCATTTTTGCTCTTTCAAGTTTCTTTCTATCTCTTATTTTATTTATGATAATAGGCAAAAATGAAAATAAATTGTAAAGTTCTTCATCTAAGGGCAATAACTCCTATATGAAAATATCTGACGGTTTTGATGTATGACATGAAAACTATTTTAAATATTATATGGCTATCATTATAACCCTTCAATAAACTTTACAAATCTACTCATTCAAACATGCATAACAAAATCGAGCATTATGAAACCAAAATAAATAAGGATTCATTTAAAATGAAAAACAATTATCGCTTTATATTTTACACTTCTCGTAAATTGACGCTGGGGGTGAATTAAGGCCGATAATTTTGTCACAAAAAGTATCAGCTTTGAGTGAATCCAAACCCAAATCTCAAGACATCAGGCCATAGATTAAGGGAATGCACCAACATTTTTATTATTCGGAACTGTCAAAATCAGTAATCACTTATATCAAAGACAAGCATTTTTTTTAGAAATGGAAAACTTCTTTACCCCGACAGCGAAATTGATTAAACATATATGAAAAGAGGTCAAGCAATTTAAATTGAAAGGCATAGTTTTGCAAAAGCAACTGAAATCAATCAATTTTTATTAGTTAAAGGTAAACAAAATCAGTAAAAGGTATTAAAAAAAGGAAAATAACAAAAATTTCGAACTCCAAGGAAAATTCTAAACGGAAAGTCCCTTATCAAATGGCAAAACCAAAAGCTCAAACACATCAAACGAATGGAAAACAACTACCATATTCCTGACTTGGTGAAGCCATTTCCTTATGTAGAAAATGGTTGATTGAACCTGGTTTAATAGATAGCTAAACCTCTCACTTGAATGACAGTCGCATAGAATTCGATTATATTGACAACAATGAGTAAGCAAAACAAACAGACGTAATAGGTAAAAATGTAAAAAATTGGGGTACAGCAGTCGTCATTGTAATATAATCTTAATCAATATACAAACAAACAACTATGTCAACAAAGAAAAATAAATTGTCATATAGACACTCTATAGACAAAGCACATAAGCAAAAATGAAAGACAAGTGCACAAAAAATCACCATAGTACAATAACGCAATGGCGGAATGTATAAATACCGAGCCACGCCAAAAGGATATTGACGATACAGGACTAAACAGTAAAGGTTAAAAATATACAAAGACAAATAAAAAGAGCACTATAACACGTAATAAAGATGGTAAACAACGTCAGTACCTAGAATCCTAACTTCAAGACCATCATGTATTATTTGTGAAATTGATACGGAGTTTTTATCAACAAGATCTTGGTATCTTCTGATGAACTTGTTTTAGAAAAAGGATGAGACGTTCTTTGACATAACCCTGGTTCATCAACTTTCTGCTAAGAAACTGGTGACGTTGTAAAAAGTCTGAGTAGAGCTACATATTCTTGAAAACCGAATGTATATCCCATATGTAGGTGAAGTTGGTATATTGCTGCTAAGGTTGGGGAAATTTATAATTTCAAAAGTAAAATCGCTTCGCTTGTCATAGATTTTGGTACTAAGATGACCGCTTATGTCAACTCCTCATATGTTTACAATATAGATGGACGCCATTTTTGACAGGAACATGCATGTATGTACACTTCTTCAAATCATCTTTCAATTTAATTATGTCTGCATTGCTAAATTATTAGATAACTGTTTTGTCTTATCACAAAGCCGATTTCATTAACTAAGAAAGCTATGAAACGTTTTAATCAGTTAGACTGACGGCATTCTCGATTCTGTATTTACCCCTTGTTAAAATAACTCATCAAAGATACCAGGTTTATAACACGTAAGACTCGCATTTTGTCTACGTCAAACTCATTAGAGGCGCTCGAATCATAACAGTTGGATAGCCAAATCAAATACGAAGTTGAGGAGCATTTAAGACCGAAAATTTCGAAAAGTTGCGACATAGAAAAACTAAAGCTATATATGGCTTGGAGTTGAAAACCTAAATGATTTAAATATCTCAACATTCTATAAACAATTAATACAGAAAATTAACATATATATTATATATCATGTCAACGAATCAGTGATAACAACACTCCCTGTATAGGCGTTTTAGATAATATATTCCAGTGATTTG